TAATGTGAAAGAATACACTTACTTCTCACCAAGACATAAATCCTATTCAAGAATAGACTACATCTTACTATCTCCTATGATATTTTCATGTGTAAAGAACATTGAATTTCTACCACAAAGTATTTCTGACCACAATGCAATAACAACATCGCTGCAATTTAGTACACTGACCAAACCCTCTAGATGGAGATTCAATACTCTTTTACTCAAAAACGAGGAATATATTTCACAACTGAGATCAGAATTAACTGAATTTATTAGCATTAATCAAAATTCTGTTTCCAACCAAGACATGTTTTGGGCCTCTATTAAAGGTTTTTTAAGAAATAATGCAATTAGTTTTTCTGCAAGGCTTAAAAAGAATTACCTCCAACAAATATCATCATTAGAAAAAAGGTGTGGAGAATTGGAGCGGGAATTAGAAAAGAAATTTGCAACAGAAACACAACAAAAATTAAAGGTAGAAAGAGCTACACTTAATGACCTGCTTAGACAAAGAACCGAATACTTGATGCACATCACAAAACATAAATACTACATAGATGGAAGCAAACCGAGCCGACTCCTTGCACTCACTTTAAAAAAACATGAGCAACGCTTTAATATAAATGCAATAAAAAACTCTGAACAGGTTCTCACCTCAAACCCCTCAGATATTAACAAAACATTTAAGAAGTTTTTTGAAAAATTATACTCTTCAGAAATACAAACTAACACGGATCATTTAGAAATTTTTTTTGAGTCTTTAAACTTAACAAAACTTTCTAAGGAAGATGCTGACAACCTAGATTCAGAAATAACTCTAGATGAATTACATAATGCAGTTAGGGATTTACATACAGGGAAATCTCCAGGTATTGACGGCATCCCTGGCGAATTATATCTAGTACTATGGGACTTACTGGGACACATTTGGCTACAAACAATAAACAAGGCCATAACCAAAGGCCATTTTCATAAAGATCTTAATACTGCTTTAATTACTGTTTTACCTAAACCCGAAAAAGATCTTTTTGAATGTTCCAACTATAGACCTATTTCTCTGATTAATGAAGATATAAAAATTTATGCTAAAGTTATCGCCAAGCGTCTACAATCAGTAATAAGTAAATTAATTCATCCAGACCAAGCTGGTTTTATAACAGGACGTTTAGCTTCAGATAATGTCCGCAGAGTACTACACGTTATAGCTGAATCAGGAAAGTTGAAAAAACCTAGTGGCCTCCTCCTTATAGATGCGGAAAAAGCCTTTGATCGCTTGGAATGGGGCTATTTATGGTACACACTGAAAAACTTTAATTTTGGCGATCAATTCATTAAGATGATTCAAACTCTATACTCTAACCCCTTGGCTAGAGTAACTACAGTGGGAATTATTTCAGACACTTTTTGTATTAAGAGGGGAACAAAACAGGGTTGCCCTCTCTCTCCTCTTTTGTTTAATCTATCAATAGAACCACTGGCTCAATTTATTAGACAATGTAAAAACATTACCCCAATTCAGTTAGGCTCATCTGTCCATTCTATCTCTTTATATGCTGATGACATACTTCTATTTCTATCAGATTTACAAAATTCACTACCCAATGCCCTCACAGCTTTAAATGAATTTGGAAGAATTTCTGGTTTCAAAATAAACTACTCTAAATCAGTTCTGATGCCCCTTAATCCAATTGGCCATAATGTTACTAATAATACTAATATAAAAATATCAACAAAAGTCAAATATTTAGGAATTGAGCTGAGCCCAACCTTACAACTCATACCTAAAATAAACTATATGTCAATTTACAGTAAGGTTGAGGCTGATATCCAGAGATGGATGCGCCTACCCTCATCACCACCCGCCAGAATTTCAACAATAAAAATGAATATCTTGCCCAGAATTAATTTCATAAGCTCCATGCTTCCCCTCCCTCCACCTCCAAACTATTGGAAAAGGTTAGACTCGATTTTAAACAAATTTGTTTGGAATGGAAAACGTCCCCGTGTAAAATGGTCCACTCTCCAAAAAAACAAAACAGAGGGTGGATGGGCCTGCCCTAACTTCAAATTATACCACTGGTCATTTATTCTGCTCTCAGTTGTGAAATGGTTCGAACCTGATATGCAATGTTCTTGGAAAGAAATAGAAAAAGACCTTATTTTTCCAACACGTCTGCAAGACTTTCTGTTCTCAGGCTTTAACCATAGGAAATGTATATTGCGCTATGGACCTATTTTATCCTATACCCTCCAAATTTTTAAAAAGGTAGAAACTTATTTTCCTTCCAGAACCACCTGGCATAATCATTCTCCTCTGTGGCACAATGTGAACCTACTTTCTGGTAGACAACCTTTTAATCAACCATCATGGGCCAATAAAGGTATTCTAACACTAAAAGACATAAATGGAGAAAAATCTATTTTAGATTTTCAAGAGCTGGTTAACAAATTTAATATATCTCCCAACACTCTTTTTATATATTTTAAAATAAGGGCAGCACTAAAGGCTCATAAGACACCATGGGGTAAGGATCTTCATACCCACCCGATTGTGAAATGGATATATAATGCTCCAAGAAAAGGAACTGTTTCCTATCTCTACTGCTGTCTTTCTAATATTAATGCACATAGTTTCTCAAAAGAAAGACTATGGCTATCTGATATGTCTCGACCCAATACAACTATCGATTGGGAAACTGTATGGCATAATACATTCCACGCTTCCACAAACCCTAATCACCAGTTTATTCATTTTAAAACTATCCACAGGGCATATTTAACCACACGTATACGACATATCATAGGTTTATCTCCAGATCCATATTGTAAGTTCTGTGAACCACAGCGTCCAGATACCTTTTTACATATGATGTGGGAATGTCCGGAGGTACAAAAACTTTGGGATTCGGTACTGGACATTTTATTTAAAGTTACAAAAATTTGTTTCCCCAAAGACCCTATACTGTTACTATTGAATGATAACTCTCAATTTCCCTTAAATGCAAAGGTCCGTAAATTTTGGTTAGCTGCTTCAACTGCTACAAAGAAAATGTTGGTACAAAGGTGGAAACCTCCTCATGATCTCTCAGTTAAGCACTGGTTACATTCATTATTGGAAATACTATATCTGGAACTGTCATCAGCACGGATCAACCATGCCAAAGTGGACATTCTTACGGCATGGAAAATCTACATATGCAACGTCAAAGAAATCTTGGACACTTAACCCTCATCTGATGCTACGGATGACAACTTAATGGAAATTATCTAACAGCTTGGTCTAAACTATAGTTATTCTGTGTTTCCTGATGTGCGTATAATGGGGTGGGGGGTGGGAAATATATATGGGGTTATATCTGTTAAAAGTATTTTGTTATCTGATTGTAAAAATTGTATATTCTCACTATCGGAAATAAAAAAAACTGAATTACAAAAAAAAAAAAAAAAAAAAAAAAAAAATACAGTAAAAACACTACTGCTAATATTATGGATTTAAATGAACACAAAAGGGGCGAAGCAGTGGCGCAGTAGGTAGTGCTGTCGCCTCACAGCAAGAAGGTTGCTGGGGCGCTGGTTCGAACCTCTGCTCAGTTGGCGTTTCTGTGTGGAGTTTGCATGTTCTCCCTGTCTTCGTGTGGGTTTCCTCCGGGTGCTCCGGTTTGGTAGTGTGTGTATGTGTGTGTGGATGTTTCCCAGAGATGGGTTGTGGCTGGAAGGGCATCCGCTGCGTAAAAACTTGCTGGATAAGTTGGCGGTTCATTCCACTGTGGCGACCCCTTTTTAATAAAAGGACTAAGCCGACAAGAAAATGAATGAATGAATAAACACAAAAGAGGATATTTTGAAGAATGCTGAAAACCAGTAACCATTGACTTCCATTGTGGGAAAACTAAATACTATGGATGGTTACTGGTTTTTGTAAATGATGACAAAAGTTTTGGGTGAACTGTCCTTTTAAAAAGCATATTATATTATTGTCATGTTTCGAAATGTAATTTATTCCTGAATTTTTCCAGTCGTCAGTGTCACCAGATCGTGCATATTCGATGTTTATAGGATCAGTTCACCCAAAGAAAGTACATTTAGTCACCATTTACTCACCCTCAAGTGGTTACATAGCTTTATGAGTTTCTTTATCCTGTTGAATACAAAAAGAGCTATTTTGAAGAATGCTGAAAACCAGTAACCATTGACTTCCATTGTTTGAAAAATTAATACTATGGTTACCGGTTTCTGTAAATGATGACAAAAGTTTTAAGTTTTGGGTGAACTGTCACTTTAAGAAGCATTTTAAATTATTGTCATGTTCATTCATTTATTTTAATTTCGGCTTAGTCCCTTTATTAATCTGTGGTCGCCACAGCGGAATGAACCACCAACTTATACAGCATAGGTTTTATGCAGCGGATGCCCTTCCAGCTGCAACCCATCTCTGAGAAACATCCATACTCATACACACTAATACTCTACAGACAATTGAGCCTACCCAATTCACCTTTACTGCATGTCTTTGGACTGTGGGGGAAACCGGAGCACCCAGAGTAAACCCACACGAACGCAGGGAGAACATACAAACTCCACACAGAAACGCCAACTGACCCAGCTGAGGCTGGAACCAGCGATCTTCTTGCTGTGAGGCGACAGCTCTATACCTACTGCACCACTGCGTCGCCATTATTGTCATGTTTTGAAATTTAATTAATTCCTGAATTTTCCAGGTGTCAGTGTCACATGATCCTGCATAATTGGTGTTTAAAGGATTAGTTCACCCGAGAATAAACATTTAGTCACCATTTTCTCATCCTCAAGTGGTTACATAGCTTTATAAGTTTCTTTATTCTGTTGAACACAAAAGAAGATATTTTAAATTTTGGGCGAACTGTCGCTTTAAGAAGCATTTTTTATTGTTGTCAATGCTTTGGTTAATATTTTTGTGAAAAATGCAATGCATTAATCACTATCAGCTCTCTTTATCCTCTCTCTCGCTGATTGTCTCGTGTTGTTGTTGTTTTCAGGTGCATCTGTGTGAGGCAGAGGGATTAGCAGAGTTTTTGGGGGAAGGTGCACCTTTACCGGAGCAGGACGGCAGGCCAGTGCTGGTAGCAGTGAAGCAGCTCAGAGCAGATGCCACCAGCAATGCCAGGTCTGGAAAAAACACCACTTTTTGACAGTAAAGTTGTGGCATGGAGTGAGGAAGTCATGTCATATAAGATCACATAGGATTATGTATTGTGTATTAATTGGTTGTTAAAAAATGGTCTGGCACATATATAGAAACAAATAATAGGTTAAAGGAAAACATAAACTATATATATATAAATATAATGTGTTATTTATTTTTATATGTATATATTTTATTTAATATACATTTATATATATATATATATATATATATATATATATATATATATATATATATATAAAATAAATAAATGTATATTAAATAAAATATACATAAAAAATTAAAAACACATTATATATATATATATATATATATATATATATATATATATATATATATATATATATAGTTTATGTTTTCCTTTCCTTTACACATATACAGTGTTGGGCAGTAGCATCGCTACAAGTAGTGACGCTACTAGCTTAACTACATTTCTCAGTAGCAAAGCTATTATTTTAAGCAAGTAGCGTAGTCGCATCCACACAAGCTACATTTGCTGATCGCGGATTAATAAATGACGGCACTGACATTCACAGAGCTGTGAGACCGGTGTCTAGCCGATGAAAGTAAATCCATATGATGGCAAGAATGATAATGTCTTCTTCTTTCTTATAAAAACAAACTTTTTGTTGCTGTACTGCCACCTTTCTCTGGTTAATGACTTTGCCAAACAATCATTGGGCTGACACAAGAAACTTGTTTGATTGAAAGATGACTGAGGGAGAGGAGTTATATATATATATATATATATATATATATATATAGATATAGATATATGTGTGTGTTTACAACTCTTAATTAATGAATTACACCACAAAATGTAGTATCATTAACAACTATCATGAACTAATAGTAATTACCATAGTATACTTTAGCCTTTACTACAGTAAACTATATATATATACATATATAAATATATATATACATACACTCATATATATATATATATATATATATATATATATATATATATATACACACACACACACACACACACACACACACACACACACATATATATACAGTTTATACACATATATATACACACACATACAATATAATGCTCATTGCTAAGTATTTTCCTTTACTATAAATAACGATAATATTTTAATTGTGTAACTCCTGGTTTTATTGTATTTTTTGTTTTAAGCTGTTATATACTATAATGTGTTTCTGTTTAGTACAGCATAATATTTACTGTAAATAGCTGAACTGAACTATTATGCCTCATATGTTTCATTGACACTTTATTGACCACTAAGATATGATTGACTTGGATTTAAGTTGCTTTGATTTAAAAATCAAAATAGCAAAACTAGCTTTGATGTAGCTTAGCTACTTTTGCCATGTAGCTTTTAGCTTAGCCTAACATTGTATATATATATATATATATATATATATATATATATATATATATATATATATATATATATATATATATATATGTATGTATGTATGCATGTGTGTATGTGTATATATATATATATATATATGTGTGTGTGTGTGTGTGTGTGTACTGTATATATGTGTAATGATTTCCAGAAAGTATTGTAGTTACAGCTGGATGTTATAAGTTATTGTCATCCATCAATACTGGTCTACTGATGAATGCTGGCCTTTACCCTTAGACCTTACCCTGGATTATTTGTTTTCTGTACAGGAATGATTTCCTGAAGGAGATAAAGATCATGTCTCGTCTGAATAACCCGAACATCATTCAGCTGCTGTGTGTTTGCGTGAGCTCGGACCCGCTCTGCATGGTGACCGAATACATGGAGAACGGAGACCTTAACATGTTCCTGTCCCAGAGAGAGATCGAGAGCACGCTCACACACGCCAACAACATTCCCTCCGTCAGGTGCCAACAACACACTTGCATCTGCAGACAGAGCTCTATATATAGCCGCCACGGCCAAGTCGAAGGTCAAATCGAAGGCCTTTAAGGCGGGGCTATCGGTCCTTTATGGCAGGGCTATTGGTCTTTTAGGGTGGGGCATTAGTCCTTTAGAGTGGGACTATCTGTCCTTTAGGGTGGAGCCAGATGTCCTCTAGGGCGGGGCTATCAGTCCTTTAGGGAGGTGCTATCAGTCCTTTTGAGCAGGGCTATCAGTCCTCTAAGGCAGGGCTATTAATCATTTAAGGTGGTGCTATTGGTCCTTCAGGGCTGGGCTGTCGGTCCTTTAGGGCAGGGCTATCGCTCCATTAGGGCTGGGCAATTGGTCCTTTGGGGTGTGGCTATCAGTCCTTTAGCTTGGGCTATCAGTCATTTAAGGCGGTGCTAAAACTATTTTAGGGTGGGGCTATCAGTCCTTTAGTGTCGTGATTTTAGTAATTTAGGGCAGGGCTATTAGTAGTTCAGGGCAATGCTATTAGTCACTTAATATTCATTTGGTGTGGGGTAGGAGCAGGGGGATGGGGGGTGCACGCGAACTGAAGAGCCAGGAGTGGCTACGAAGATTGTTGCTTGTTGGGTTCGCTGCGCATGGGGACAGAACCAAAAAGCTAGCCGGACTGTACCAAAAAGCAGAGGAGTGGGACGGGGGGGGGGTGATGTTGGTGGAGTTCCGGGAGTTTTCCGGGAGACGGAACATTATGGGAGATGGGCAGGAGATGGGTCTGAAATACGGGAGACTTCTGGGAAAAACAGAAGTGTTGGCAGGTATGCTTTAGGGTGGGGCTATTAGTCACTTAATGCAGAGATATATGTCATTTAGGTCAAGGCTATCAGTCCTTTAGAGAGGGGCTATTAGTCCTTTAGGGTGGAGCTTTTGGTAATTTAATGCAGAGCTATATGTCATTTAGGACAAGGCTAGTAGTCCTTTAGGGCGGTGCTATCAGTCATTTAGGGTGAGGCTATTTGTTATTTAGGGCAAGGCCTATTAGTCATTTGGGGCGGAGCTAAAAAAAAATTTCTGAATATATTTAATCAAATATCATAACTTTCCCCACCCCCTAGAAATGACTTTTCTTCACTTCTGGTCATGTGGATTTTCTTTAGGGCGGGGGGGGTTTAGTCCTCTAGGGCAGGGGTTCCCAAACTTTTCAGCACGCGACCCCTAAAATAACAATACCAGTGACTCGCGACCCCCAATATCCCCTGAGGTGGTTATAAATACAGAAAACTTGCATGCAATGGCGCACACACACACCAATAGACCAAAGTCTATTCTTCGTTTAATTTTTTAAATGTATTTCAGTGCTGTAAATGGGCCAGAAAGTTTAACCTGGTGTTATAAAATCAATCTGCTGCATCTGACGCTATTGCTGTCTTTGAAATAATGTATTTACCCCAGGGGTCGCAATCCAATAGAACAAGTAAATAAGCTATTATAGTAACTATAAACGGCTGTTTTTTTCTCTTCAGTTGGTTATGGATAAAATATGGTAACTCTTATGGTCTAATAATAATAAGTAGATTTTTGGAAATCACCAGGCGACCCCCCTTCATTGTTCCGCGACCCCTCAAGGGGTCCCGACCCCCACTTTGAGAACCACTGCTCTAGGGGGTGTTATTAGTTGTTTAGGCTTTTAGTTCTTTTAGGGCGAGGCTATTAGCCCTTTAGGGCTGGGTTATTAGTTCTTTAGGGCTTGGCTATTAGATATTTAGGGTTGGGGCTATTATTCTTTTAGAGCGAGGCTACCTGTCATATAGGGCGAGGCTATTTGTCCTTTAAGGCGGGGCTATCAGTACTTTAGAGTGGCGTTTAGTGCATGTCTCATTTCTGTACTGCCTTTGTCCAGTCATCAATCTTCCTCCATTTTGTAATGCCAATCTTTAAACAATCCAACTGGTTCTCAAAAGATTGAATCATGCACTACCCTACATTTTTCTTTGTTATTTCAGGAGCATTGCAATTGCCTGTACATCACAATATAGGGAAAAACTGCCCGAACTGCATGCTTTCTATGAGTGCTGCATGAGATTGGTTTGTGGCACCAACTGCTGGACACTCATAGCTTGTTGATCAGGGTTTACCAGGGCAGAACCTAAGCGTTAACGTATTAGCAGAGCTAGTTTTTTTGCCAACCTAAATGACAAAATTTCACTCCATGTTTAAATACTTCAACCTGCTTTCTGCCGGCTTATTATAGGTGCATATATTAATGTAGTGAGTTTCCTTACATTAAATTAATCTCATAGTTACAAATTATTAAAATATAATGCTGACTGTCCACAAGTCAGTACATAATGTGTTCCAGCAATACATTTCTAACATTTTTATTAGAGTTATTGTGTAGAAACAATTCTCTTTACCCCGATTTTAAGCTCCTAAAAGCATTATAAATGCAGTATCTGCTGAAGCTGAATTAGGTTTTAAATCTCCATGTCTGTAAAATCTCATGTGTGCTTGTTCCCCTTCAGACATGAAACTGAATCTGGTCTGAAAGCAGGTCATATTTTAGTCTCCATCTCTGATCATGAGCTGAAGGGGCTTAAACTGACTTTGTTTCTCTGATTTCTGTCTCTGCAGCATAGCTGACCTGTTGCACATGTCAGTTCAGATCTCGTCTGGGATGAAGTATTTGGCTTCTCTGAACTTTGTGCATCGTGATCTGGCCACACGAAACTGCCTGCTGGACCGTCACCTCACCATAAAGATCTCTGACTTCGGCATGAGTAGAAACCTTTATAGCAGTGATTACTACCGTATACAGGGGCGAGCAGTGCTGCCGATACGCTGGATGGCCTGGGAGAGCATATTACTGGTGAGGGGGAAAAAAATCAACTTTTTTATCTTAAGCAAAACATTTCATTTTCAAACATTGTCATACAGAATAAAGGTGCTTTATGTGAGTTTTTGACCCTTCTAAAGCATTAAAATACCATAATAAGTTTGCAGATTTTTAAGAAATCCACTCAGTGAACATATTTGTTTATCTTAACAATGCTAAATTCAGTTATTCTTCTTTAAAATGTGCATCCGATGTCAGAAAGTCTTTGTTTTAACCTCTATAACCAGCCCAATGCTAGCTTAGCTAATTAAATTCCAGCACCCTTCGTGGAAAGCAACCAAAAATACAACCTTCAAAGGACAGCAGCAGCCTCTGAAATGAGACACAAACTCAGAGATATAAAAATCCAAACAATCCACACAGAGTTATTCAAATCCAAGCAAGCCAGTGGCGACTGTGATGAGGAACAAAACTTCACCAATTGACGAAAGTGAAGGGGAAAGAAACCAGGCTCAGTTGGGCACGACCATTTCTCCTTTGGCCAAATTTCTTGTGCTGAGCTGCAGTCTAGGTGCCAGAGGCTGGAGAATGCTGGACGTCCATCGTGAAGAAGCTGCAGGTGAAGTAGGCCACAGGTGGGTGTTCAGACTGGCCCACGGGATCAATGCAGAGACTCGTCTGTCACTGGGTCTTTCAGGAATCAGTCTTATGCTCTCCACTCCTCCACGACCACCACAGCATCTGCTCAGGATACAGCCTGGTCCAGGATTATGGATACCTCGAGAAGTCCTCTATAAGAGTATCCTCAGGTGGAATTAGAGAAGGAAGAAAACAATTAGCGTAGCAGCGGTTTACGGTGTATTTAAACAAGAAATGTTAAATATCAGTGCAAAAAAAGTGCTATAAATTAAATAGCTGTTATATAAAACACAAATAAAATCAATCGACACTCTCTTCTGTTTGTGTTATTAATCTGGCAACCTGCGTCGAACTGTTGGAGATCGTCCTGGGTGAAAAAAAAACTGTCTAATGTTTAGAATTTGGACTGCAATACCTACTTCAACCACTAGGTGAATCCTACACACTGCACCTTTAAGACACAGATGGTAAAAAAACTAAATAAACAAACAAAAACTATTATTAAACAATGATACAGGATAACATGTTTGTCTATATACTTTCAATGTCCATCAATTAAACTGAATGGTCAACATAGACTCTCAAAAAGTCACAAACACTTTCCAGAGGGACCAAAATATATTAATTTTGTTTTTCATAAAATAGGAAAACTTTTTTTAGGTAAGGCAAAAGGTCGTCCCCTTTATCCTCTAGATCAGGGGTTCTCAACTGGTTTGACCAACATTTTTACATGGTCATCAAGCCGCGACACAATTTTTTTAGGAACTATAATACAATTTTAGGAATTATAATTAATTTTTATTTATTTGTTAACATAAACAAGTAGTGACAGATAAATCAAAATCACCAAGAATTACAAATAAACACTATTTTATTTCTGTCATTTAACAAAATGTATCGAATTATACAAATATTACAAAGTGAAAACGTCAAATACTGTAAACAGGGGTTAGGGTAAGGAAAGGTTCAGTTACCATGAGCTAAACTGAACTGTTAATAAAACATGTTGTCTGGTTTCTAAACATCGTTTTAATTTTAAAGGTTTCATGCTCTCTTAGCAGAGCACCCCACTACATATGACACTAAGGCTTTAAGTCTTTTTTGTCGCCAATATATGTAAATCCATACTTTACATATTCGGGGTCGCACTTGCACTTTGATATGTTTGTTGCTATAATTAAATGAAATTTCACATGTCAAATGGTAGGGTTGTCGCGCATGCATTTCAAAATAAAAGTCCGGTATGAGCTAAATAAGTAAAAATTTTAACTTTTGTTTTTTTGACCACACACTCCACGACCCACTGAAAATGTTCCCATGACCCACTTTTGGGTCGGGACCCACCAGTTGAGAAACACTGCTCTAGATCACACCCTGATTATCTTCTTTATATGCAAGAAAATGCATTTACATATTTTAGTTTCCAGCAAACATGGAATTAACAATGAATTTACACATTGTTTACACAAAACCAGTCATCATGAGTGTCGATGTTTAGAAACTGAGATTATTAAGCATCATCTGGAAGCCGAATAAATAAACTTTCCATTGATGTTGACCTTTAAATGAACATATCTTCATGGAACATGCTTACTTAACATGTTTGATTTGTTGAAATAAAGGAAAAAGTATATATTTTGATTCCTACAATTTATTCTTGGTTTATTGTGTGTGTGTGTGTGTGTGTGTGTGTGTGTGTGTGTGTGTGTGTGTGTGTGTGTGTGTGTGTGTGTGTGTGTGTGTGTGTGTGTGTGTGTGTGTGTGTGTGTGTGTGTGTGTGTGTGTGTGTGTGTGTGTGTGTTTTTAGGGTAAGTTCACCACTGCTAGTGACGTGTGGGCATTTGGAGTGACTCTGTGGGAGATCTTCACTTTATGTAAGGAGCAGCCCTACAGCCTGCTGTCTGATGAACAGGTGATCGAGAACACCGGAGAGTTCTTCAGGAACCAGGGCAGACAGGTACTGACAGAAATTTTGGTTTTGTACGGTTGAAGTCAAAATGATTCTCCCTCCTGTGGTTTCGTTTTCTTTTTCAAATATTTCCCAAATTATGTTTAACAGGAAGGAATTGTTCACAGGATTTCCAATAATATTTTTTCTTCTAGAGAAAGTCTTGTTTGTTTTATTTTGGCTAGAATAAAAGCAGTTTCCCATTTTTTTATTTTTATATTATTATGCCCCATAAGCAATTTTTTTTATTGTCTCAACAGTCGATATCATTTCAACAGCTGATATACAATGACTTGCCTAATTACCCTTAACTTGCCTAATTAACCTAGTTAAGCCTTTAAGTGAAGTTTATTCATAAACAAATTTCGAGAGGATCACGTGCTTATGATTGTTCTCAGCTGTTCCAACTTTAGCTAATGACTGATTATCCTACAGACGATCCTTAACTCACTATAAATAACCAGACTTTTCTCATCTCAATATCTTCGTCTCGAAGAAACCCCCCCCCCCACCCAACCCTACTTTCCCTCCTTTCAAACGGGCGTCACGGTGGCCAGCGATTAGCGCTGTTGCCTCACAGCAAGTATGCCCCTGGTTTAATTCCTTTCCAAACCAGACGGCATTTCTGTGCGGAGTTTGCTCGTTCTCCCCGTGGTCACGTGGGTTTTCCCCGGGTCCTCCGGTTTCCTCCCACAGTTCAAAAACAAGCACTCTAAATAATTAATCAAAATACATTAGCTAAACTCTGAGTACACCTTTCAGCATCCATATCCGACACTTAGCTACAACAAGCAAGAAGGGGAGTCATCGAGATCTACCTGAGCTCAAACTCCCCTCTCGCCTTGCAACGGGAGGGAGCCCAGGGCTCGAGGATCTTATAAGCTCAGGGCTCTCTCCCGGGACAGCACGCCAAACTAGCTTTACTATCAATGATCAGCTAAGTGTGAACTCTTGAAATGTTACTTTAAGCTGAATATTAGTATCTTGAAAAATATCTAGTTAAATTTTATGTGCTGTCATCAGGGCGAAGATAAAAGAAATTAGTTTTTAGAAATGAGTTATTAAAACTATTATGTTTAGAAATGTGTTGAAAAAAATATTTTCGTTAAACAGAAACTGGGAAAAAAATATACAAGGGCTAATAATTCTGACTTCAACTGTATGTAATGTGAAGTGTAATGTGCATTCGATGAAGTTAATAATTTACTCTAAAAAAATCCTGAGTTTAAAGTAATCCAGTTTAGCAAATGATGCTGACTTAAGGCTGATTTATACTTCTGCGTCAAGCGCACGCGTATGCTACAGCGCAGCCTACGCGTTGACGTGCACTTCTCAAAAAATTTAACTAGCCGTCGCAACTATGCGTAGGGCAAACTCTGTGATTGGTCGGCTTTGTAGCACTGATGAGTCTGGGTGGGACGGAGAGCCGCGCAAACGCCGCAAGTCGAAGGATCGATTGTTTACAAGTGTGGAGTCCCGTGAAGGAGCTTCAGATGGAAAGTTTTGTTTTGTGTTTACCTCATAGTAAAAGTTGTTGCATGTCCACCGATTCATGCCTCTGAATGAGCGAGTTTGAGCCACTTGTACATTCAGGAAGTGTTCAGAAAAAGCAAAACAACAGCGAAGAAACTCGACACAGAGGAACATTTACACTTTACTGCTAGCTAGCGTTTTGGAAGTGTTAATTCAGACCAACAGAGACAGCACGTAAGTATAAATGCACAGCTACGCGCGTTGCATGCGCCATGGGTTACACCGGTCACTTGACGCAGAAGTATAAACCAAGCTTTACACATTTACATGACCGACATTTTATTCTAGTTTGCTGCATTGCTTAAAATGCTTTACAGCACAGTAAAGACTTTATAGAGGAGATAAAATGTATAAAAAACTGAAGTGAATTGAGTCCAGGTCATAAAAATGAAAGAACAGATTACAGGCCCGTTCCCACCATGATGCTTTTTGCTTGCATTTTCTGTCGACGTTTAACGCCTCGTGACTAAACAAAGGGCGCGAATGTGATCGTGCACACCAACGCACAAAACGGCAGGCGTAAAAGCGTCATTTCTAAAGAAATGCCTCATGAAATGCCCAACTGAGTCTGGTTCTCTCAAGGTTTTTTTTCTTCACTCCCATCAGGTGAAGTTTTTTTCCCTCTCCGCTGTCGCCACTGCCTCGCATGGTTCAGGATTGGTAGAGCTACGCATCGATGAATTTGCTCTTTAGTGTTTGAACTCTCAGTAATGATTAAATCACACTGAACTGAGCTAAACTGAACTGAACTTAAACACTAAAAACTGAACTACACTGTTCCAGTTACTATGACCATTTATGTGAAGCTGCTTTGACACAATCTACATTGTAAAAGCGCTATACAAATAAAGCTGAATTGAATTGAATTGCTTCATCGCTAGAGCTGGAGCTGCTACTTGAACCATCCATAACAACAAGCATGTCAACTTTCTGTCATCTTCTTCTGTTACAAGCAGGTTTCAGAACTTAAAGTTGTGTAGCGCCATCTAACGTCATGGAGTGATTTTGCATACTCCTCTGCTCGACGCCAGTGAAAATCTCTTGGGCTTGAATCCGGAAAAACTGCTTGAACAATATGCTGACGATAAACGCAAACGAAAAAAATCCCGATGTGTAGGAGCCTCAATAGGAACAGTAAACGAACGAATGTTGAGATCCTCAAAAATGTATTCATCATTTGAGAATAATGTTTTATAAATGTTTTAAGACAGACACATGGAGTGAAAATATTTACATTGACATTATACTACATGGGTAGCATCAACGCCTTAGCAAGAAGGTCGCTGGTTTGAGTCCTGGCTGGGCCAGTTGGCTTTTCTATGTGGAGTTTGCATGTTCTCCCCGTGTTGGTGTGGGTTTTCTCTCTGTGCTCCGGTTTCCCCCACAGTCCAAACACATGCGCTATAGGTGAATTGGACAAGCTAAACTGGTCATGGTGTATGAATATGAGTGTGTACTGGGTTGCAGCTGGAAGGCATCCACTGTGTAAACATAGTTTTCATATTTACATCTAAAAAAGTGGTTCTTAACCATGTTCCACCACCAGCACTGCATGTTTTGGATGTCTTCCTTATCATTTCAGTCTCTGCTACTGTGCTGATGATCTGAATCAGGCGTTTGGTTAAGGAGACATGGAAAATGTGCAGAACTGGTGATCCTCCAGCAACGTGGTTGAGAAAAAAAAGTCTTCCTATTGTTCACCTTTTCTCTCCTCTGCAGATCTTTCTCTCCGCTCCGCCGCTCTGCCCATCCTCCCTCTTCAAGCTGATGATGCGCTGCTGGAGTCGTGACATCACAGACCGGCCATCGTTTAACAAATTGCATCAGGCCCTGCGAACTTTTGCACCCCATTCGTGACTGACATCTGCTCTACTAAAACAACCTGGAGGAAAACTGTTATAAACATAGAGCGGGAACATTATAGCCACAATGTAGCGTCATCACGGCATCGTAAATCCAGAAGAGAGATCTAGAGGGGATGAGGTTTCACAGAAAAAGGCATTCACTAGCTCACTAAACATTCATCTCTATTGAGACTCTTTTAAAAAAAAAATCCACTTGAGACACTTGAGATTTTTTTTTTTTTTGTATTTTTTATTGTTGTTACTTCCTTTCAAGTACAATTAGCTTTCTCTCTCTCTCATAAATGTATTTCTGTTCGTCGTTTTCCCAGAAAAACAGCGAGTCTTGAGCCTACTGTGTATTCTAGGCGGAACTGGACGAATGTCTTTGTCAAAGCTGTGGTTTGTGTATCGTTAAGCACTGCTGTCATTTGGTTTTATTTGGTTTTATTTGTTCCTAATTCACCCCCACACTGGAGTTTCTGTGTCTTTTTATGATATTAAGTGTTTTGCTCTCTGAATATGAATGTTTTTTTACAGGTTCTTATGGATACGGCCGGGTTGGAGACTTGCTCTGCCTGGATCTAGCAGAACTACTGTTATAGTTAGATTAAAATCCCTTTCCGAGGAGAGGGTTGTAGAGCCAACAATGGACTGACGTGCAATTGAATGCACTGTTTCTTCCCCCGATTTATACGAGGCCACTTTAAAGTTGATATGAAACCAAAATGGACCCTATTATGTTTTCATCCGAGCATTTTCCAAAGAACACAATGCCAATGAACTCATTGAAAATCTGAGATACGCCGAAATGTGTCCATGGTGAGTTTGATATTCATTCCCTACATGCAGATATCAGATTATTGGAGTTAAACTGAGTTAAAGGGATAGTTCAGTGTTAACAGGTTTCCAGTTTTCTTTTTAATATCTTCTTTACTTCTAACATGTAATGGGGAGTCCCAAACTATCCCCTGTAATGGCGTTTCATGTTTCAAACCCCAGCAATATTTCACCACTGAAGCCAAAGAATACAGTAACTGCTTTAAAACCGCATACAATCCTAAAAATCTAGGATGAACCAATAATATCAACATTGTGGAGATCCATTTTATTTCCGATCTCTGCATTAGGCACATGTTTATGGGGGAATGTGTATGCAAGATTAAAATTTTCAAAGCACATCTTTCTTTCTTTTTTTAACTCGAGCTGTGGTGAAAAATCGATTTTGCATCGATTCTGAGATTTTCGAAATGCATCACTGTTTTCTCTTGAATAGATTAAATGGATTGAATTGTTAAAACCAGCCTAGAGCGCAATCTTCTGTTATGTTAAGGCAGAGCATCATTTGCTCTAGTTTACTCACAGGACGTTTTTCGCCACTTGAACATTTTTTCGACTTAACTTCAATAATTTAGACGTGCGCAGAAGAAGAGATTGAGGCGTTTTCCTTTCGTTTGCAGAAAACCCATCACGCATTCTGCATCATTTGCAGCACACTGTGATAATTCGCCTGTATTTGCGGCTTTGCATTGACTGTATGTAATTTACTCCAGTTTACTTACAGATTGTTTTTCCCTTCACGCAAATTTTGTAATCAAGTTCCATTATATGAACATGCGCTAAAGACGCGCTTGAAGCAAATTTCACGAATTTACAGCAAATGCATCCCACCTCTATTTGCGCCTTTCATGTATGTAATTTACTAGTACAAATATATGCCCTTTTTGTGTAAACCCAGCATTAAAAACTAGCTAGAGCGCCATCTGTTATTAAAAACAACCCTAGAGTGCCATCTGCTGTTTTGTTGATGTAGAGCACCAAGTCATTTGCTCTAGTTTACTCACAGGACGTTTTCAAATATTTAAATGTGCGCGGAAGATGAGATTGAGTCAAATTTCACGAATTCGCAACAAACGCATCCTACCTCCATTTTCGGCTTTGCGTTGTTTTTGTATGTAATTTACTAGTGCAAATATTTGCCATTTGGTGTGAACCCATCACTAAAAATCACTTAAATCACTTAATAACTAGCAAGAACGCCATCTACTATTAAAAACTAACGTTGATTGTTACGTTTAGGCAGAGCAACACATCATTTGCTCTAGTTTACTCATGTGATGTTTTTCCCCACACCCAAATATTTCACTCAAGTTCAATCATTTGAGCGTGCATGGAAGACGTGATTGAGTCAAATTGCATTCACAGCAAACGCATCCCACATTCTTCATCATTTGCCGCCCTCTGTGGTAATTTGCCTCCATTTGCGTTGAATTTGTATGTAATTTACTAGTGCAAATATTGGCCGTTTAGTGTGAACCCAACTTTAAAAACCATCAAGAGCACTATGTGATAACAAAAAACTAACCTAAAGCGCCATCTGCTGTTTTGCTAACGCAGAGCACCACATCATTTGCTCTAGTTTACTCATGGGATATTTTTCCCCTTACGCAAATTTTGCACTCAAGTTCAATTTTTTGCATGTGGGCCGAAGACGCGATTGAGGCGAATTTGCAGCAAACACATCCCATCTCTATTTGCGCCTTGGCATTGAATTCGTTTGTAATTTACTAGCGCAGATATTTGGGGTGAACCCAGGATTAAAAACTAGCTAGAGCGCAATCACCTTTTAAAAGACTTGCCTAGAGCGCCATCTGCTGTTTTGCTAACATTCACTTTAGAAACAGAATGTTTATCCATCCGACCTCTATTTGAGGCTTTGCATTGACTTTTTCTGCAATTTACTAGTGCAAATATAAACGTTTGGTGTGAACCCAGAAAAAACTAGCTACAGCGCCACCTGCTATTAAAAACTAGCTAGTGCGCCACCTGCTGTTATGTTTAAGCAGAGCACCATATCATTTGCTCTAGTTTACTCACGGGATGTGTTTCCCCTTACGCAAATTTTTCACTCGAGTTCAGTTATTTGAGCGTGCACGGAAGACGTGATTGAGTCAAATTGCATTTGCAAATTGCATTTGCATTGTGCTCTGTCGTAATTTTTCTCCATTTGCGGCTTTGCGTTGACTTTGTATGCATTTTACTAGTGCATATATTTGCCGTTTTGGATAAACCCAGATTTAAAAATTAGCTAGAGCACCATGTGATATTAAAAAATAACCTAAAGCACCATCTGCTGTTTAGCTAACGCAGAGCACCACATCATTTGCTCTAGTTTACTCATGGGATATTTTAATTTTTGTACACAAGTTTTGCACTCAAGTTCAATTATTTGAATGTACGTGGAAGATGTGATTGAGGCGAATTTGCAGCAAACACATCCCACCTCTATTTACGCCCTTGCATTGACTTTGTATGTAAATTACTAGTGCAGATAGTGAACCCAGGATAAAAAATTTGCTAGAGCGCCATCACCTGTTAAAAACTTGCCTAGAGCGCCATCTGCTGTTTTGCTAACATTCACTCTAGAAATGGAATGTTTATCCCCTCGCACAAAGTTCATTTATTTGAGCATGTACGGAAGATGTGAATGAGTTGCATTTCACGAATTCACAACAAAATTCATCCGACGTCTTTTTGCGGCTTTGCATTGACTTTTTCCGTAATTTACTAGTGCAAATATTTGCAGTGTGGTGTTAACCCATCATTAAAAACTAGCTAGAGCACCACCTGCTATTAAAAAATAGCTAGAGCGCAATCTACTGTTATGCTAACACAGAGCACCACATCATTCACTTTAGTTTATTCATGGGATGTTCAATCATTTGAATGTGCAAAGAAGATCCGATTAAGGCGCAATCTGTGCATTCATGGCATAAACAGCACACATTCTGCATCATTCAGGGCAAGCTGGGGTGATTTGCCTCTATTTGCACACTTGCATTGATTTTATAGATAATTTGCTAGTACAAATATATGCTGTTTGGTGTAAACCCAGCATTTATAACTAGCTAGAGCACCCTCTGCTATTAAAATTAGCATAGAGCGCCATCTGCTATTAAAACCAGCCTAGAGCCCCATCTGTTGTTAAAAACTAGCCTTGAGCAGTATCTGCTGTTAAAAACTAGCATAGAGCAGCATCTGCTGTTAAAAACTAGCCTAGAGCAGCATCTGCTGTTAAAAACTAGCCTAGAGCGGCATCTGCTGTTAAAAGCTAGCCTAGAGCGGCATCTGCTAATACAAACTAGCCTAGAGCGGCATCTGCTGTTACAAACTAGCCTAGAGCGGCAAAAGCTAGCCTTGAGCAGCATCTGCTGTTAAAAACTAGCATAGAGCGACATCTGCTTTTAAAAACTAGCCTAGAGCGGGATCTGCTGTTAAAAACTAGCCTTGAGCAGCATCTGCTGTTAAAAACTAGCATAGAGAGGCATCTGTGGTTAAAAACTAGCCTAGAGTGGTATCTGCTGTTAAAAACTAGCCTAGAGCGGCATCTGCTAATACAAACTAGCCTAGAGCGGGATCTGCTGTTAAAAACTAGCCTTGAGCAGCATCTGCTGTTAAAAACTAGCATAGAGAGGCATCTGTTGTTAAAAACTAGCCTACAGCGGTATCTGCTGTTAAAAACCAGCCTAGAGCGGCATCTGCTAATACAAACTAGCCTAGAGCGGCATCTGCTGTTACAAACTAGCCTAGAGCAGCATCTGCTGTTAAAAAACTAGCCTAGAGCGACATCTGCTGCTTAAAAACTAGCCTAGAGCGGCATCTGCTGTTACAAACTAGCCTAGAGCAGCATCTGCTTTTAAAAAACTAGCCTAGAGTGACATCTGCTGTTTAAAAACCAGCCTAGAGCGCAATCTTCTGTTAAAAACTAAGCTCAGAATTGATTCAAGAGGGAATAGAGATGCTTTTTAAAAATCACATAATTGATTTCTGAAACTATTTTCCGCTACAGCTCTATTTTAACCCACTTTAATGATTTATAACATGTCTTTAGTGTGTCATTTAATGTTTGTGAATGAGTGTTGCACCAGAAAGCAATTTGGTTCACTGCGACATTACCAAAAATGTCCGTCTTCGTCAATCGTTGTACTAGCTTTTAGTCTTTTTTTTCTGTAGTTTGTGTTTACTGTATTTCACAAATCGTCTTCAAATCTACAGGAAAACGTTGTTTTATTGTTTGGCTGCTGAAAGGTTTGGCTACGCGGGATGTCAGAAGAGTCCTCTGATAGCACTGGGATATCGATTGAATGTCTGTGGTAGGAAAGAAGCGCAACCACTAGAAACTCAATCTCCCAGAAGCCTTTGCTGAAGTGAGCCCTTTGGCAATTTCTGTTGTTACTGATCAGAGTTTGCTCTTTGATACATATTAGAGACCAAGAGTGCACGTTTGTGTGATTGTGTGAGATTGTGAGTGTTTTATTGTTTCAAGTGAAATCACATGTACCTTATTTTATCATGTAGTACTCAATAACGTCTTTCATTCAAGTCTTTTAATTCTCTGTATGTTTTTCATGTACATTACATAAGCAGAGTAGATACTGTATGTATAGTAATATATTGGGGACTAAGGAAGACTTGTTTTCTATTATCTTCTTTCTTATTTTCCATAATAAATATCGATTTTGCTGTATCTGGGGTTTGGTGTTTTCACTAGCAGAATATTTTATTTAAAACATATTAAAGAAAATACAGAGAATCCCTTATTAATAATATGACATGCCATTAACACATTACATCAGGGTTTTGTTAGCACGTTTCTATTAGGATTCATCACATTGTTAATGTGTTTTCGTCATGTTTTAGCATTTGCCTTAACATTTAACATGTTATTTACTTGGATTTAGTGTGATGCTTACATGCTAGCTATTATTTATACCACATTGTTAGCGTTAGTTCAATTT